GTTGCAAGAAGATAGAAACAAATACCGAAGGTTAGGAATTGTGTAATTGACCTTGTTATACATGCTTAACGAAAAGTTATTGCATGAAAGATCCAGAGAGTAAAGATTTTGAAGTTTTGAAAGCATGTCGAGGTCTAAAATGCCAATGAAGTTATTGCCTGAAAGAGACAGTTCTTGAAGTTTTGATAACTCAAAAATTGAGCTTGGAATTGAACCTTCTAGATTGTTATTGTCCAAGGTGTTAAAGTATAAAACTATTGTTGGCCCACCTCCCTAACAGATTAAGCTTTTGGGATTGATTGGTAAACTAACATAGTATCAGAGCGGGAGGTCCTGAGTTCAAACATCCGTAATTGCACTATTTATCCCCATTTATCATCATGTGTTGGGTGGGAGTGTTAAAGTAAATATTCCAATTGATTTAAGTGGAATTCGTTCAACTAGCCAGAAAGTAGATTGCCGTCAAGAGCTAACATTGATAAAGATGGCAGGGTGAAGAACCAACTCGGTATTGTACCCTGTTGATGGTGGATTTCGATCAACAAGAAATTACTAACTTTCCAAGAACACTCGCACTAATCACTCGCGTATTAATAAGGAATTAATGGTGCTGAATAAGTAAATGAGACAAGAGTTTATAGTGGTTCGGCCAAAATTCTTTGTCTAATCCACTTGTGCATGCACTAATATGTTGTAGATTACAAGCTCTCTGGAGTAGTATTTTTGTGTGTCTAAACAACGTAATGAACTTTTGTGGCTCTATTTATAGGCCTTATACATATGAGAAACCCCTTGCACTTCCCGAGGAAATCAACCTCTATCTCTTAATTTGGGGATTTGGCAGTTGGATTTCCCTGATTATTGCTTCCCGGTCAGGTTAACCACTATTTACCCAATGCCTGATTTCCTGATTCCAACAGTGGCGGTAGGTGATACAGTGTATCTTCCCCAGGACTGACAGCGGATTTGACCGGGCTAATGTTTCGACGTCGGGTCCTCACCACATGGGCTGGGCCCTCGACGCGCATCGGCGTACGTGACCTCTCGACGTCTAAAGGGCACTCTGGACACACTGGTTCCCTTGGCGTCAGCAACCGGTCCTCAACGGGGAGTCCTTGGCGCTTGTCACTTAGAGGGGCGGTCAATCCCTCGACTGTGGTGTAACATACCCGTAAGCATGTTATTTGATAGTGGCTAAATTTGGTAGTTCAGTGGCAAGAGAAGGAAGAGAACCAACCAACTTGTTGTTTGAGAAGCTCACAAAAGAGAGTTTTGTACCATTGGTAAATATGTTAGGGATTCTACCTTTAAGCTTGTTACTCGATAGGTCTATGTAGGTGAGTTCTTTAAAATTGGAAAACAATGATGGTAACTCACCTTCGAATTTGTTTTGTGCGAGGACTAAGCGAGTAAGTTTGTTAAGGTTTCCAAGTCATGCTGGAATTGAGCCTGAAAAATTGCAAGCTTCGAGCCACAACATCATTAAGGATATTTGACTTGCTAAAGAATTCAAATGAGAGCTTCCCATGCAATTGACAATAATGAAGGCTAAGAGATTTCAAGGGGGATGACGAAATTGCTCAAGAAACCTACAATCAATCAAAGACATGTTGATTCCATCCAGAAGAAGTTCCTCCAACTTGGTTAGATTTCCAATGAGCCTTTCCCAAGTATTCTTTTCAAGATTGAGATGATAATTGTTAGAATGATCAAGGGAAACCAATTTGGATGGAAAGGAGAACTCATGGGGCACTTGGCCAGAGATCCCCAAAGTGGAAAGGTTGAGATGTGTCAAATATTCAAACTTGCCAATCTTCGATATGAGAAAACAAAGGCCGTGTTTGGAATTAATCTTCTTTTTATTTTTCACGTTTTTCGAGAAAGAAAAAATGAAAACATTTTCAAAACGGCATTTGGCGCAATAAAGACAATAAGTGGAAATAAAAACGATTTTTTTGATTTAGTATAAAATTAGAGAAAAATGAAAAACGACTTTTGATCGTTTTTCATTTTTTATTTTCGTTTTCTCCTCAACCTAAGATAAAGGGCAGTTTGGCTGTAGATTTGGATGAGTGGTTGAATCTCAAAGATGCGGCCAACATTTACGTTCTTGGGTACGTTATGATGGAAAGTCAACACCCAACATTGTCATCTTTTCTTTTTAAACATAAGAAAGTGTCGTTTGATGGCAAATAGTTTCCAATGTGTAGATTTCAAGAGATGACCCGAACAGTGATAGGAGCAGAAGACCCAACGGAAGCAACAAATTGGAACGGGCTCATAGGGGAAACTCTCAATGACAAGTATGGTTGTCCTTGGTTGACACCCTTGGTAAATCGAATCTCAAGTGACAATTATCTCTATGTGCCGGTTCTCGACTCTGAGAGGAGGAAGAGTCTTAGCAGCTATAGTGCGACTCCAATGAGAGAGCGATCAAAAACTATAAATATGATGCCAAACGTTGGGAGGAAGTACAAACTAATGGCGAGAAAAAAGATGGTTGGAGTCTTTATAAGTGTGTTGATGAGAAATGAATTGCTTTGAAAGTATTGCGTTTCAAATGTTAAAGTTTGTTCCGTGGCTTGTGGCAGCATGGGTTATTTGGGAAACAAAGGTTCGGTTTCGGTTAGCATGTCGATCGAAGGGACTAGCTTTTGCTTTATTGCTGCACATCTAGCTTCTGGCGAGAAGAAAGGCGATGCAGGTCGAAGGAACCACCAAGTGTCGGAGATTTTTAGGAGAACTTCTTTCCTTCGGTCCTTTGGAGATGACGATAATCCTCATCCTCTTACCATCTTAGGACACGAGTAAGTGGCACTCCAGCAAACTACAGCTTAGCTGTGAAAATTTCTACTTTTTAAAATGCTCGCTTCCAACTCACCACTTTCCAAAATTGACAACAAAATCTTATTTAACCATATTGTACATCACAAGTTCCTTTTGAGTAGTTTGAGTAATTATAACTCTAGTTCACGATGTGGAGGGGAATTTCATATTTTAGTTCACCATCCTATTTGCTATGATAAAACTACTAAATTCACCAACAAGATCTTAGTTCAAACATTTTTCCTGCTACAAAAGAATTTGGGAATTTACATAAGGTTGAAACGAGAAGAACCTTATCAGAAACAATTTCAGAAAAAGAAAGAGGGGAAAAGGAGGGGAAAATTAATTACTCATCATTATCAAAATTAACGCAATAACACAAATCTGTTCTGAAACAGTCGGTTATTCTGGTTCGGGGATCTCAACTATAGGCTGTATTTGGAGGACAGTCTAGCCAGGCAGCTTACTAAGAAGCAAGACTGGAGAGCATTGCAAGACTTCGATCAACTTCGAAGAGAACAAGAATATGGCGGAGTATTTCAGGGTTGGAAAGAGGGGGACATAGAATTTGCACCTACCTACAAGCATTCTCAATCAAATTGTAATCGCTATTCAGGTGGTCTTCCAAGCAGATCGGGAGAGAAGCAAAGAACTCCAGCATGGTAAGAATAATCAGCCTTTCTTTTCTCCCCCCACCACTTTATACTGCAAAAAGACCACTATTTGACTCTTGGATCTATTCCCCTTTTTTACATTCAAAATCTACCGCTACCACAAGCCCCTACCTTATTCTAGGTGGCAAGTTAGGAATTTGTTAAACTGTCCATCCCCCTCCCCCCTCCTCGAATGGTTCTCCATGAATAGACATGAGAAGATACAATGGCTGCAGGTGTGACAGAATTCTATGGTATGGAAAAGGCGTGAAGCAACTATCCTATTTTCGCAGTGAGAGTAAGTTCTCCGATCATCGGCCGGTCTCTGCCCTATTCTCAACACAGATTGAAGTGGTGAAATCTAACAGTGCAAGAGTTGTTAGTCTGCAAACCATTCTTCCTACCATACTGCCTAATGAGCAAACAGTGAGTTCTCCGTTATGATATTTCTGTAATCCCAGATACTATGTTTTACAATTTTGGTTGCACGAGTTAACTTGGTTTCTAAGTATACATGAGCTTCCGGTTGTGATAGAAATTATAAAATTGACAATGCAGGGAACAAGCAGAGGTGAAGATAAAGGCAACTCAACATTGCTTTCCTTAATGATAAAGGACCTAGAAGCATCGCCGAGATATATGCAGCAATCTTAATGAGAACGATTGAGAGTGAATGCACTTGGGCTTTAGAGATTGATTTGCCGCCGCTGGTTTCAATGGTATATGTCAAGAAAAAAAAATCCATCTTCTCTTACTGTAATCATATTCTCCCTCGTATTTGAGGTTTTATACTAAAGGACACTGCAAGCCAGATGCTTTAGATTCATGGAAACATGTAACCGACCAAAGGAATTAATTAAGATGTATATTTTCCCTCAAAAAAAGTATTGCGGTGTGTGTAATCTAACAAAAGAGAGACTGCAACAGTAACAGAGTTCAGGCATTGCTATTCCGTGAATGTTCTTGAAAGGACCTAAAACAATCAATGTGACTTTAAAAAAGCAAGATCGGCAGAAAACTTACGGTACATTACATTCCACCTTGTGCCAATAAGCCCTCAAATGCTATGACCTTAGTATGAACAAAGTGTGCAAGTTTCTATTATTCTACACTTTTGGTAAGAAAAACACTGGAAAGGTAGTCATTCAAGCAAAATACTTACAAAAGATTAATTCGCCTCACTTGACTAAAGAATTCCACCCAAGACCTCCACGTTGTCTAAATGACAATTGGGACAAATGCATCTTCTCTGCAATTCCTCACCAAGGGCAGTGCACATCTGTTCTAATTCAGAAGTCTGCTTGTTTTCAGTCAAAGAAACAATTTCAGTAGGTCATGGTTGTAAATTACAATATTTTGTAGTCAGAGGAAACCTTCAAACAACTAAAATAAATCAGAAGGAATCCGTATCAAATTTTGAACAACCACTATGATGAAAATATGCAAGCTATAACGTACTTATTTCTTCCCATACACCTCTATAACAAAAAGAGCATGCCATCATTAAGCAGTGTCTGAAAATGGTCTGAGCAAAATGTCCATTATGAATTTTTTTTGAGACTGGAAATTTTCAAATAAAGAATTATCCTAGGACTCAAACGTAATGGCGGGCAAGCAACTTTAATATGTATAATGTTGCTTCAATGATTCTTAAGCAATTTATCCACAATTTGATAATGACCCCATCCGATGAACAATTTTCTGTTCCTTCGCCCACAGAAATCATTAAGAAGTAAGCACTTTGCCATGAATTTTCTGTAAGGATATCTTGTTAAGTCCTGCAACGCTTGTGTTGTCTTCAGTATGACCTTAGTCAGCGACACATTTCTCTCACAATCAATCAACTCCTTCTGGGTCTGCAGGAGTGCAAGATTATCAATCGTCTTTGGTTAATTTGTACGAATAATATTTGAGAGTAACGACAGGCTAAGCCTTCACTTTTTAATATTTCCAATTGTTCAAAAGACTAATTTACATCCTGCTTTTGAATATTCTGTTCTGCGAGGTATTCTTCTTCCGTCATACTTGTTTGAGAGATTACTTGGTCCAGCATGTCTTCCAGAGTAGATAAAGGTACTCCATTAAGCTCCTTTCCTGCAAGTTTGTTGCCTTCTTTTGATTCAAAATAGAAATGATCTCTAGTCTCTCCAAAATACATTAAATCACCAACCAATGACTAGAAATTTGAACGGTGTAAACAAGCTAATACCAGCTAAAGTTCCAAGAGAAAACTCCTTGTGAAAATTGCAAGTAAATGTCTCTTGGAACTTCCTGCATTAATCAATAATAAGACATATCATAATTTACAGGAAGTAAAGTACCATTACGCACAACACATCTATTTGTCAAAGAAAAACTCAGTTAAATATCTAGTAAGCATCTCACTAAACTTTGTTCTACATTACCTCAAAAAATAAAAAAATGAAAAAAATAAACATTTGACTTAGCATTGAGCTAAGTCAAATCTAACCTTATCTTAGCATTGAGCTCAAACATTTGACTCGTAAACTCATCACTGCAAGAGAAATACATGCAAAAATTTCAATATTTTTGAAGAAATACTAGAAAAACTTGCATCAACTAAATTAAAGATAAAAATAAAAGTCTGACCGTAAAGCTCCTTCATCGTTCTTTGCAGGATCGAAGAGTTTTATTCAACGTTTCAGGTTGAAAAGACAGAAAATATAGAAAAAGTAAGAGTCCAATATAAACGAATTATTATTTTTGTCCTCAGCATTAAACAGGAAAAGGAAAAAAAAATAACATTAAGAGACGTGCTTAATTACCTTAAGAGCTTCTAAATCAGATCCGACGGAGGAAATTTCGTCTTGAATCAGAGAAATCCTCGACTGAAAATAATTTAAGTAGATTAGATAAAAACCTAATCAATTATACATTAATACATTTCGACCAATTCGAGCTTTACCTTTAGGCTTTGGATCGAAGTCTCACTCAAAGCCAATTCAACTTCATAGCCCTTAAGCTCTTGCTCAGCGGTTTCTTTGGCGCGTTTGGTGTCTTCAAGCTCCGCATTTGCGATTTCCGCCTCGGATCGAAGCTCTTCAATTCGCTTTTTCAGACTTAAAATTCTTCGTTCTGCATACGTCGAAACACGTACAGTAACCGCTCTCTCGTTTAATTTTGAGCTAATTTCAGCACCCAAAAAAAAAAATCACAGTTCTCAAAATAAATAGTGAAGAATCGATAATTAAGAGCTTAATTCCACATCGATGAGGCATGATGTTGTGATCGACGACCGCCTAGTTCTACAGTTTCTCGGTCAAGTAATTTTCTTAGTATTCCTTTCAGCTACAGTCTAAATTTTCTCGGGAACCAAACGAGCAGTATGAGCAGAATGTATTACCTCCTTGCGATTTTTCGGTTGCGAAGTTGCGAATTAGGGTAAGAAGCTGCTTCTGAGAATCACTTCCTAGCGTTCCCGCCATTACTTGTCCCACTCCCGTGCTTCTGTTTCGCGCTTCTTCTGCAGAGCCGCCGAGGGCGGCCGTTAAAAATGTTCCCGAATTCTGACTGGAAATAAAGCCCATGTCATCGCAAAGTGGATTTCGTAGCCCAAAGCTTGGCCCGTGCAAGAAGCCCATTTTAAAAACCTTTATCTTAAGAAACGGAGTAACTGAGGAATGCCTCCAGAATTGCTGGTGGAATAACAACTTCTATAAAAAAAATATGAGCCTAATTTACCCATATAAATAGGCTGTGATGTTTGGCAGAGGAATTCGTTTCCTGATTCGAATCATGATTCATGATTCGTTACAGTATTTTCTCTCATAAAAAATTCACGTAAATAAAAAATGGTTTGAATCCTTTAACCAAACGTCAATACGTAAGCCTAATTTACGTGAAGGAAAAGAGAAATGTGAAAATTAGGCACAATTTTACATTAAAATCTAATTATTCATCTGTACCATTTTCATATGTAAATTAAGCTTAAATCTTTTAACATAAGTAGATATTCGAATACCAACTCACTAAGAAAATATGATTGGAAAATGGAGAAGACTATAATTGCATTGTCATCCATTGTCCCAGCCCTAGTCCTGAACTAACCAGCTTTGACTTCGAGTCATTGTTGTCTTTGCATGCCTCCCCAATTATCTCAAGTTGCCTGACCTCCCACTCAGCATCTCTAGTCAAACACGTGGCATTGAATGTTATTATTCTATTTCTATTTAAGCAGCCTCGAGATCAGCGGCACCAACTTCGCCCTCACAGGGCTGTGGTGAGAGACCAAAACCATCTCATCATTTAAGTTGCATTTAGTATGAGAGTTTTAATCAAAGTAATTTTAATTTTATAATTAAAATTATGATTTATAATTTGAACTTAGTTCTAAAATCAGAATCAGAACTAAATGTTTAAACCATCTAAAATTAATAAGAAGGTGGTATTATTTTTTAAGATGGTTTTGTTTTAAAGCATCACATTATGATTCAAATTTTAAACCACAACCATCCAAACTAAACATTGATATTAAAGAATAATTTTTTTACTTTTTACAAACAAATAAATGTTTGAACCAGAATTATAGTTTCAGTTTTAGAACCCTTATACTAAACGTAATCTTAGAGTAAAGTCGAAGCTTGATTAAGGTTTGCTTTTTTTTTTTTTTTTTTTGAAAAAAACTATATATATACCATTGGGCTTTTTTTGAAAATATATATTATATTTTTTAAAAAAAAATTGAAGGGTGTAGTTGAAAATTCAATGTTGAATTAAGTCATATGTCGTATACGTGATAAATTATATCGAAAATTGAACGTTCTTGATTTTTTTCAAAATTGTAAAGAAATCAAGAGTTTATGAACTTGATTGTCCAAATTGAAAATATAGAACCAAGGTCTTTTGGTGATATTTGTCGGCAGTGACAATTATTGGTTCAAAAATCAAAGCCAATTACTACTGAATAACATTTAAATAAAAACAAAATAGTTGGGTCTAAAAGTTAAAAGATACTACTTGGACTCATTCCAATCTCTCACAGCACCAGCCGCCCTCCTTTCCACAGTCTCTCTTTCTCTCTCTCGCAACCATGCAGCCGCCGCCTTAATTATGCACGATATTTTCTGTGAGGTAACTTTAACGTTATGATTATCTTATCTTTCAGATTCTAAACTGCGATTATGCTCAATTGTACTGTTTTATAAGCATTCTTAAACCGCGATTATGTTCGATTGTGTATAATAAGGCAGCAATATTTTCTGTGAGATGCCTTTACTAATATGATTAATTAATGTGATTATGTTTCAAGTAGCAAATCTTATTATTCTGATTCTAAGCTGGGAATTGGGATTGCGTTCAAATTGTGTTGAAGAAGCTTTCTTGTGCACAATATTTTTCGTTATGCGATTATCTGTTGAAAAAAGCAAATCTTATTATTCAGATTCTAAACTGCGATCATGATGAATTGTATTTATATACGTAAAATGGCTCCAGATATTATTTATTTATTGTACTATTGATGACGTCTAGTAGTGACCATTATTATATGCAGATAAATTATAACCTCGTCACTTTAACCAAACAAAAAGGGAGCAGAGCGTCTCTATAACAAGGACAAGTGTTATAATTTATACAGTATATATATATATATATATAGGCAATGTCACACTTGGAAAGTGCCTCAGCGGTATTTGTACATTTTTGTATGAAATATGTATATTTATAATAAATTGTGTATATTTATAAGTAAGTTGTGTATATTTACATAGCACTTTTATAATTATATAATCGTATATATTTACATGTAAATCGTGTGTATTTATATATAAATCATATATGTTAAGTTATAAGAAACGACAATGTATATTAATCTTTAAAACATATTTTTTTATAATAATTAGTGAACACAAAGCATAAAAATATGTATATTAATTAATTTATTATATTTTATGTTAAATATATACAATTTTACATATAAATATACATGATTTACGAATAAATATATATAATTTATACACAATTATATAAACACCTAACTAATCAGACACTTTATTGTAGACAATTCATATATATATATATATATATATGCTTCTTTCCTCATTAGAATATATATAACTTGTTGAAGTATAAATACAATAAAACAAAGGACGTCGTGGAGATAAGACGCACCACACACGCATAGTGACTGGGAAAATGGTTCTCGAGGAAAGCAAAAACAGGGGAAGACAGAACGTGTAAATGGGTCCGTACGCTCCATTTTCACGCAAGCAGATGGGTTGGATATGTTGTTGATGTTTTTCGGTTTCATCGGCGCCGTTCTTGATGGGTTCACTGACCGTCTTCCGCTGTATTTCACTAGCCACATGATTAACAGTATTGGCAATGCATCAAAGTTGGACCCCGATGTTCTGCGGCAAAGGCTTAATAAGGTCTAGTTCTCTGTGTCCTTCTTTGTTTTCTCTCTTGAAAATACTAAGCAAATTAATTATGACTAATTAGATAATATAATGTTATGATGTGTAATATTATTGTTCAAATTTGATGAAGTAATTTCTTTGGGTGGATGCAGAACGCTGTGGGGATATTATACGGGGCTGGTGTGTCTTTGGTTGCTTGTTTTCTAGGTGAATTCTGTCTCACCCTATTATACATGTTAGATTGTTTGTAAGAATCTGTAGGAAAGAGTTAATAAGTATAATCCGGAGATTAATGGTTTTTCTTTTTATGTTATTTATGTGAAAATTGCAGAAGGATACTGTTGGACAAGAACAGGTGAGAGACAAGCTGCAAGAATGAGAATCAAGATGCTATCAGTGAAAAGGTTTTGTGGTACTTGAACTGTATATATATAATCTACACATACTGATGGACTTTTGTCATTTGGTTTACCATTTTTGCTTAAAAACAGTTGATTCCTAAAACTTTTGGTTATTTATACTATTGGTCCCTGAAGATATGCACTTGTATCATTTTGGTTCCTGACGTTTAGTTTTAGAGGTCTAATTACCTGAGGTTTATGAATTTTTTTTTTACCCCCTATGTTAGTAAACTGTGATTTTCAGGAGGAGTCTTAGCACAAAGATAGGATGTAAGGACTTTAAAAGAGATAGAATGATATTAAAAAAAAAAAAAATTTAAAAAAAGATCCAAAGTAAAGATCTGGATTTTGTTGCCCAATTCATGTCTTCCTTTCAGAATAATTTTTTAAGATCTTTTTGTTTTTTTAACCATTTGATCCATATTAAAACTATCAGAAGCCATCTTCGTGCTTTATAGTATCTAAAAACAGACAGTTTAATAGCAAGAGGGACCGAAATTTATATTCCATATACCTCTGGATAGATAGACCTCTACAAATGAATGTCAGAGAGTCAAAATGGAGACTAATGCATATTTTCACGGGGCCATTGGTGAACGTGAACCTGAAAATTCAACAGGTCCCAAACTTTGTGAGCCAAGTATCCACGTTTATAGGAGGTCTTATCGTAGCGTTAATACTGTCATGGGAATTGGCTTTGGTGGCACTCCCATTTGTGTTGCTTCTAGTAATTCCTGGGTGGATGTGTGGAAGATCCTTACTGAATTTAGCAGGAAAGATTAGGAGTGAATACAATGAGGCTGGTACAGTAGCAGAGATGGCAATATCCTCCATCAGAACTGTTTACGCCTTTGGCGGCGAGAAAACTACTGTAGCAAAATTCTCCGTGGCTTTAAACGGGGCCACTAAGTTGGGATTGAGGCAGGGTTTGGTCAAAGGCTTGGGAGTTGGAAGCAGCGCCAGAGTGTTTGTTATGTGGTCTTTTATGTGTTACTATGCTAGCAGATTGGTCATGTACCATGGCGCACAAGGAGGGACTGTTTTTGCTGCAGGGATGTCCATTGTCCATGGAGGACTGTAAGAATCTCTCACTCATTTCTTATGCATTCACACACACACACACACCCCCAATATATGTTTTCTAAATTTTTCAGTGGCGCCTAATATTGTAGACAGTAAGCCCGTAAATGCTTCCTCATGGTAAGTGTTTTTCTGTCATCAGAGAAAGTGCTTCCACGCGGGGGTGGTTTTATGTTAAAGCATAAATGTAGAGTGTACATATTATTTTTAGCCTAGTGTACATTTTATTATTTGCCTAGTGTACATATTATTTTTAGCCTAGTGTACATTTTATTCTTTGTCTAGTGTACATTGTTTTGCCACGTATACTAGTGGTCAAACTAGGGGTCCTACTGTATATTCCATATTGTATAAAAACTACGTATAAATACAATTGCTTTAGCTTAGTATATTTTGGTTGAGCCTTTCTCAATTCCAGAACATTCTTCTTCTTTTCCATTATTCCTTTCACTGCAATTTCTATTTTGGTATCAGAGCATTTTAGCCTCTGAGCTCTCTTCGATCCAATGGATTCTTCCTCTCACTCTTCGATCCAATAGGTTGCAAGTGGGTATTCAAGCTCAAACTCAAGCCTGATGGAACAATTGAGAGACATAAGGCTCGACTCGTGGCTAAAGGATTCCATCAAACTCAAGGCCTTGATTACTTTGAAACCTTTAGCCCGGTGGTGAAACCCACAACCATCCGGATTGTACTTAGTATAGCCTTATCTAAAGGCCGGCCTCTCAAACAACTGGATGTTCATAATGCGTTCCTCAATGGGGACTTAGATGAAGAAGTCTTCATGGCACAGCCACCCGGGTTCATTGATGTTGCCAACCCCCACATGGTGTGCAAGCTATCTAAAGCACTCTATGGACTCAAACAATCCCCACATGCTTGGTTTACTAAGCTTAGTCATCAACTTCTTCAATGGGGGTTTCAAGGCTCAAATCTGACACATCTATGTTCTTCCTATTCAATGGTACAGCTAAGTTTATCCTTCTAATTTATGTTGATGACATAATTGTAACAAGAAGTCACCCCCAATTGGTTCAGACTCTCATTACTCACTTGAACCATCATTTTGCATTAAAGGATCTTGGTCCCTTATCTTATTTTCTGGGTATTGAAGTGAGAAAAACAAGTAATGTTCTCCATCTTTGTCAGCAGAAATATATTTCTGATCTTTTGAAGCGAACTGAGATGTGGGGATGCAAACCTTATGTCACACCAATGTCATCCGAACCAACTTTGTCTCTTTATGATGGAGAGCCCCTCTCCGATGCTACAACCTATCGTAGTGTTGTTGGTGCTTTGCAATATTGCACACTGACCCGTCCTGAAATCAGTTACTCAGTTAATAAAGTGTGCCAATTCATGCATGCCCCAACTTCCACACACTAGCAAGCTCTAAAGCGCATCCTTCGATACCTTAAGGCCACTCTTCATCATGGTTTGTCTCTTCAAGCCTAATCAGATTTTTTGCTTGTGTGTTATATGGATGCAGATTGGGCTAGCTGCCCCGATGATAGAAGAAGTACTAGTGGTTACTATACATTCTTGGGTTCAAATCTCATTTCCTAGTCTTCTTCAAAACAGAAGGTGGTTTCCTGTTCAAGTGTAGACTCAGAATATTAGGGTCTTGCCAATGCGGCAACAGAGGTTAGCTGGGCTGAATCGATTCTTCGTGAGTTGCAAGTTGCTCTACCTACTCCACCACTACTTCTCTGCGACAATATTAGTGCCACCTACCTTGCTGCCAATCCTATTATGCATGCTCGTACTAAGCATGTAGAAATCGACAATCATTTTATCAGAGAACGTGTTATGCAACATACTCTGCACGTTTAGTTTACGCCCTCTGAAGGCCAACTTACAGATGCCATGACCAAGCCTCTCCCAACTCAACGATTCTTGAATCTTCGAAACAAGCTCACTATTCTCCCGAGACCAATGAGCTTGCGGTGGGATGTTAAAGCATAAATGTACAGTGTACATATTATTTTTAACCTAGTGTACATTTTATTCTTTTCCTAGTGTACATTGTTTTGCCACGTATACTAGTGGTCAAACTAGTGGTCCTACTATATATTCCACATTGTATAGAAACTACATGTAAATACAATTGCTTTAGCTCAGTATATTTTTGGCTGAGTCTTTCCCAATTCCAGAACATTCTTCTTCTTTTTCATTATTTCTTTCGCTGCAGTTTCTATTTTTTTAGATTTTTTCCATATGAATAATGAGAACTCTTTGGTAGGGTACGAATAAAAACACTCTACTAGCGTACAATGTTATGAACCGTTAAATTTTTATTAGGGCTATTAATTTTGCATGCTTTCATTTATAATGTGATTTTGACAAGATTAAACATTAAAAAACATGCACTTTTTGCCATATGTATAATGAGAACTCTTTGGTAGGGGTATGAAAAAAATGTTAGCAATAATATGAAAAATACAAAGAAGAACAACAACTTTTGCAAGATCAAAATAACGAAATTGTAGAACACTAATTCAACCTTTCTAGTTTAGAATGTGTAATCATTTTTTAATCACGATAGATGATATAATGAAATTAACCAAGACATAATTGAAAGCAGTCTCATTTCTCTATTGTCTAATCCGATGATATAAATTGTAAATTTAAGTGAAGAGTTTGTAATATATTTTTTTTTTTAAGAAACAATAATTTAGTTGGTTTGATTGTGTAACCCTTGGTGAACAGAGCACTAGGAGCTGGTTTATCTTACATCAAAGACATAGTTGAGGCACAATGTGCTGGCAAAAGCATACTAGAGGTGATAACACGAGTCCCTAAGATTGATGTAGAGAACATGGAAGGCATGATTTTGGAGGAGATCTCTAGCAAAGTTGAATTTAAGCAAGTAAATTTTTCATATCCATCGAGGCCTGAAAGTATTGTCTTGAAAAACTTTACCCTTACCATCCCACCAAGAAAGAAAGTTGCCTTAGTTGGCACAAGTGGCTCCGGAAAATCCACGGTTTTGCTGTTACTTCAACGGTTCTATGACCCACTAGAAGGGGTGATTCTTCTTGATGGGAATGCTATTAATAAGTTGAATCTTAAATGGCTAAGGTCGCAAATGGCACTAGTAAGCCAAGAGCCTTCACTCTTCGCAACAACCATAAAAGAGAACATAATTTTTGGCAAAGAGGACGCGAAGATGGAGGAAATTATCGAGGCTTCTATAGCTTGTGATGCTCATAATTTTATTTGTCAGTTACCCCAAGGTTATGATACCCAGGTTTGTACTAATTCCTTACTTTAGCACTGATTTTTCGGCCTATTACATTGTCTTGATTCTTGAAAGCTTCGAAAAATTGAATCAGAACTTATATTCAGTATTCAATTTTGTGAATGGTGAACAGGTTGGTGAAAGAGGTATTCAATTATCCGGAGGACAAAAGCAAAGAATTGCAATTGCTTGAGCAATCATTAGGAAACCTCGAATTCTCCTCTTAGACGAGGCAACCAGTGCACTAGACTCCGAATCAGAAAGAGCAATCCAAGGAGCTATAGACAAGGTGGCTGTGGGTAGAACTACCATAATCGTCGCCCATCGACTTTCGACCATAAAAAATGTCGATGATATCATCGTGATGGAAAATGGTCAAGTTAAAGAAGCTGGGTCACATAATGAGTTAATACAAGAAGAAAATGGTATATATGCCTCCCTTGTTCGTCTCCAAAGAATGGACATGGAAAAAGACCATAAAGAGAAAATTTTCGGGTCACCTTCTCGATCAAATAAGGATTTCAATGACACTATGCATGAATGCCGTTTAGGCCTTAATAAGTCAAACCTTACCGGCACTGTAACAGCTAGTTCGATTTCTCCAGTTAGAACTAACAATGATTCAACCGATCCAAAGAGTCCTACTGCATCGTTTTGGAGATTGTTAGGTTTAAATAAGCCAGAATGGAAGCAAATGTTTGAGCGCAATTATTTTCGGTGCAATGCAACCTTTGTATGCAGTTGCCATGGGAACTACAATATCAGTGTACTTCTTAACTGATCATGATGAGATCAAAGAAAGGATTCGAAGTTCAGCATTGTGGTTCTTGGGGTTAACAATCGTTTCATTTTTGGTTAATATAAGCCAACACTATAGTTTTGCATACATGGGGGAGTACCTAACTAAGCGAATTCGAGAGAGAATGTTTGCAAAGATACTCACTTTTGAAGTTGGATGGTTTGATAGAGATGAGAATTCTAGCGGTGTTATTTGCTCCACGCTAGCCAAAGATCCAAATGTGGTATGTATATATAAACATTTTTCTCTTTTAGTTCTTATGTTTTACCGCTTTGAAATGTGTTCTAGCTATTGGAAACACAATAAATCAGTAAACATTAAAGAATATTGAATAATAATAATAAAGAAAAAACAATATTTGTTATTGATTGCAGGTAAGATCTTTAGTGGGAGATAGAATGTCTCTTCTTGTACAAGCAACCGCAGCAGTAATCATAGCATGGACACTGGGCTTAGTCATTGCATGGAGACTTGCAATAGTCTCAATAGCAGTCCAACCCCTCATCATTATGTGCTTCTACACTAGGCGTGTCATGCTCAAAAGGATGTCTAGAAAGGCCATCAAAGAACAAAATGAGAGCACTAAACTTGCCGCCGAAGCTGTATCAAATCTTCGAATAGTTACCGCATTCTCTTCCCAAGAACGAATACTAAATCTGCTGAAAGGGACTCAGGTAGGACCGCGAAAAGAGAGCATTCGTCAATCATGGTTTGCAGGCATTGCCCTTGGTTTGTCCCAAAGCATCAAGAGTTGTAATTGGTCCTTGAACTTCTGGTATGGTGGCAAACTTGCCTCTCAAGGCTACATCACCCCAAGAGAGGTATTCCAAACTATAATTATCTTAGTCACCACAGGTCGCGTCATTGCAGAAGCCGGAAGTATGACTACTATCATTGCTAGAGGTTGGGATGCTATAAGGTCTGTCTTTGATATATTGGACAAGAACACAAAGATTGAACCTGAAAACGCAGAAGGTTACCAGCCTGAGACGATAATAGGCCATATAGAATTATGCGATGTGCATTTTGCATACCCAACTAGGCCTAATGTAATGATCTTCCAAGGATTCTCAATCAATGTTGAAGCTGGAAAATCAATGGCTTTGGTGGGAAAAAGCGGGTCTGGTAAATCTACAATAATTGGGTTGATCGAAAGCCCTCTCAAAGGCATGGTTAAAATCGACGGTCAAGACATAAGGTCTTATCACCTTAGGTCATTAAGAACATACATCGCACTTGTTAATCAAGAGCCAACTTTGTTTGCTGGCAGCATAAGAGAGAACATTACATATGGGGCACCATCAAAGACCGTAAGTGAAGTAGAGATGATGGACGCCGCGAGGGCAGCAAATATCCACGATTTCATCACGAGGCAAAAGGAAGGGTACGAAACATGGTGCGGGGACAAGGGATTGCAACTCTCCGGGGGGCAAAAGCAACGTATTGCGATAGCACGTGCCATATTGAGAAACCCGACAATATTGCTATTAGACGAGGCGACTAGCGCACTTGATAGTCACTCGGAAAAAGTCGTGCAAGAGGCCTTGGAACGTATCATGGTGGGAAGAACTAGAGTTGTTGTGGCACATAAGTTGTGTACTATACAAAAGTGTAATCAAATTGTAGTGTTGGATAAAGGGCTTGTAGTGGAAAAAGGGACACACTCGTCGCTGATGGCTAAGGGTCCTACAGGAGTTTACAACTCACTCGTAAACCTACAAACGATCGAGGCTGAAATTATCGTCCCAAACTAGGCTAACATTATATGCTCATTTTGTTGAGTACACATCTGCATAATATATTGAACGCGGCCGAATCTCAAAGATGAAAAATGACTCATAATATTGGAATGGATTTGCCACTCCTAATATGCTCATTTCGTTTTCTCCTCAAACGCGCCCAAAGTGATTGAAAGAAGAAAAAGACTACTATTGGAATGGATTTGTGCAACTGTCTTACTGCAACTGAGATCGAGGCCGATCACGTGACCCGTTACCGCGTCGCACGTGACGCCATTCCATGTGCAACAATCCGCACCCTCTTTCCAAGATTTCATCTTTGGATATGGAGTTTCACAGGGTACAGAAGCATACTCATCAATCGAAGAAGAGTGTTTTAATTGGAGCAAAGCAAAGCTTTCCTCCTTTCTACATAATGGGGATGAAGATGAGTTTGACACTTGAAAATGCAGTAGGAAGGACAAGAAGAATAACAAGAGTGTGGAGTCTTGCTTAAGGAATCTCATCTTTCTCTTTCTTTGTTTTTTATCTATGGAAAACAAGTGCTTTCTTTTAGGCTTATCTTCTCATCTATTTATACTAGACCAAAACACCTCTAACATAGTATGTTGTGGACTTCATTTTGCGTTGTTTAAGTGAAACTGGTATTTTCTTAAAAAAGAAAAAAAAAATGAAAAGCTCCTTTTAAATATTCCATCTTATCTTCTCAACTATTTATATTAAATCATACAGTTACAGTCAATAATGCAAGTGCTGCATACAATAAAGTGCCCACATAATAGAAACTCTCCTAATAAATAGTGCTACATGAATTGGGTACCTTGTCATTAATTCTCCATAATTGGTCATTTTCTTTTGCAATCTTTCATTAAGTAGTGGCCAAAGTTGCACGTCTCCGTGATCAAAAGTTTTCTTGGATGCAGTTTCAATATATATATATATATTGATTTTTTTGAAAAGATTTTCAATTTTCAAACGAGTGAAAAAGTCTATGTGGTCTATTTGTGGAACTATATGCTTATTTTTATTTTTCTTTGGGGATTGAATATATTTGACAGTTATTGATGTTCTGAGAGAGCTCGATATTCAGATGGCACCATCCATGAAAATCGCAAAAGCTTACAATCAGATTTTCTTCTTTGTATACTTTTGGTTTTGGGCATTGAGAACTCGTGCGGTAAGGTTATGTGCAACTTTAAATATCAAATCACATAAAATTGTGTTCAAATAGAAAATGACCATTTTACTTTAAGGTATACCTGTTATTAATGTTCATAAATGTTAGATTTTATCAAAGTCACATTAAAACAATATATATATATATATATATTATGTATAATAATAATAATAATAAGCAAAACCGACAAAAGCTTAAAACAGATTTACATATCCCTTAAAAAAAAAAAAGATTTACGTATCAAAACATATTCACAACGGTTAAGTATTTTTTATATATACCCCGCCGTAAAAAATCACTGTTAAAAAAAGTTAGGGTTAATTCTTTTTTTTTTTTTTGAAATAGTTAATTCCATTTTTAGTCCATATGCTAATTCCATTTTTTTTTTTTTGAAATAGATTAATTCCATTTTTAGTCCATATGCTATAGCCAAATCCCATCTTGGTCTTTCGATTTAAAAACGTACCTGACTTAAAAAACGTACGTGTCTTCAAACTATTAAGGCCTTGTTCTTTTCACTGATTCGAGTTTAGAGTTCGAGTTTTGTTATAGTAAAAAGCTCTCAGAAACAGTCACATCTAACTTTTTTGCTACAGTAAAAAGTTTTCACACAACATCACATCTCAACTCGAATTAACGAACCGAACGGGCCTAAGTTATTCCAAATTAGTCCCTCTCCTATATGATTCTTAAATCTCTATGGAAAAGTGACATTTTCCTTTTAACATGTTAAAATACAAAATTAACCACCACTAAATTGCACATGGTGAAAGTGTATTTTTTTTTTTAATTGTGATTAAGAGTAGGATGGGCATAAGAATTAATTTGAGATAATTTTATTCGGCATTTACAAAAATGCCTGCTCATTATAAAACCTTATTATTGAATTTAATGAAACCTTATTATTTTAAGAAAAGGAAAGTTTCTTTAAAAAACCAAATAAAAGCATCTACCCTTTTCTTTAAGAAATACCATCTGCACAATAACAGACTCTTATGAAAATGAATATCAAAATTGTAATACAGAAGAAACACCAAAATATACTCATCAATAAACATTTTCATTATTTTAATGATAATATCGTTATGAAACATAATTTATCATACAAAAGAAACACGAAAATGTAGATCTTTTCATTATTTTTTCCTTAAAATCTCTATAAAAAAGACGCATTTCTTTTTAAAATGTTAAATTACAAAATTAACGTCCACTAACTTGACATGGTGAAAATGTAATTTTTTTTTTTTTTTTCAATTGTGATTTTAAGAGTCCTAGGATGTGCGTAAGAATTAATTTGAGAAAATTTCATTCGAGTTATTTATAGAAACGCCTATTTAAAGTATCTTGAATTTAAATGTAACGCCCTCACAGTTACCGTCTCATAACATTCATTATCATTGTAAAACATGAGTTTACAAAATATAAATTAATAAACCATGCGAAAATAGCTTGGATTTTTTTTAAATATGAATTATTAATTACTAAAACTAAAATTCATCAAAAAAATAATCCTAAAGTTGCAAAATTACTGAAACCTTAAAACTTTAACAAAATATCTAAAACTTGTGGAAATTCATAAATAAAACAAAACTCTAAATTTGCGGAATTAACAAAAATTTATATCATAATTTCAGGAGAGCAACCTGATATTTCGTTTATGCCACCACGCACACAACCGTACCAACCTCCTCTCCTCATACTTAACTCTTGTGCTTAGCTGCAATGAGAAACATCTAGTAAGAATAATGCTTAGCAAGTACATCCTGTTTTCACAAAATATTTTCATCAATTAATAACATTCGTTGTAATAATTTTCATCAAGAAGTAAATATATACTTAAAACAATATATATAACATTACTTCAAAATATCCATCTATAATAGGGTCCTTATGTGGTACTGTCATAGTGCGCTAGTAATGAAAAGAGTGAGGGAGCGGCCTCCAAACCAACCACAACAAGATGAAGCGACCGCTCACAGGACTCCATCATCACCATCCATCCATCAAAGTGCACAATACGTTTTTAAAACATCAAAATAATAATATATATGTTTAGGTTTTCATCAAAGAGTTTTCCATCAAATAATGAGGTAAAAATAACATCATTTTCCATCAATTTTCTCATTATTGAAAATCATCGTCTTAAAACGTCTTATATCATAAACCATTGTTCAGGTCCCTTTAAGGTCCAGGCCCAAATCTTGCCATTGGGAAGTTATTCCCTACTGTTGTGACTTTTGAAAAAAAAAAACGTCCCCTCTTATTCTCAAATTCAAATATTTAGAAATTAATTAAAAGAATGGGGAGTTAACGACTTTTCAAATTTTAACGTGTAACTCCTTAATTTATCTTTAAGAATCTTAGTGGACGTTTGGTTTATAGATTCAGAATTATGATTTAGAATTATTTTTATTTTACGTGTATTTTTTCTGAGAGAAAAATACTATAAAGAATCATAAATCATAATTCAGAATCATAGATGAATAAAGAAAATAAACGTCCTCTTAGAGATCTCCAAATGAGCACTTCTCACAAAACTGCTCCGTACAAGCTCCATCGCGCTAAGTGCCTCCAACAGCCTATGGATACTCCATCTCACTAAGCTCTACTCAGAGCATGCTAAATGCCTCTTACAGGCATGAATTTGAGAATCTCTACTGCGGACTTCCGGTAGTCCATGAATTGAAACTAAGGTGAAGTCTAAAGATAAATAGGATACCAAAGCGCGCTTAAAGAACATATGATATAATTGTTTCACATTGGGAGATTGTTATGAAAATAATAGATGCGTTTGGAACTCGTTCTAAAATGATTTTATTTTTGTATGAAAATGAAAATGAAAAGTTTTTTAATCTTAGACAAAAATTATTTTTGAAAATGTGTTTGGTAATTTTATCAAGAAATTATTTTCTGTATAAAAAAACCATTAATGTCTCACTCTCTGCTCGAGAGAGGAGAAAACGAAAACAAAAAATGAAAAACGACTAAAAGTCATTTTTCATTTCTCTCTCATTTTACATTGAACCAAAAAATCGTTTTTATTTTCATTTTTTATCTTTATTGTGTCAAACGCCATTTTAGAAACGTTTTCATTTTTTATTTCTCAAAAAACGTGAATAATAAAAATGGGATCAATTCTAAACACGGCCAACATTTTTCTAATAATATTTGTGGGCCACATATTTTAATACAATTATATTGGGTTATTTAATTATAATGCGCTTTTATAAGTGGTCTAATTTGTAAGGCTTATAGACTTCTAACTTGGTATGGGTTTGATGAGTGGATACCCAATACTGATCCAACTAGGTTTAATGGGACCCTATTGGAACAGTATATAAGGACATATTGTTGGATCCTTAATCCAACGTTGGGCTTATATGTGAATAATTATGTGTTGCGGGCTGTCATATAAGGTTAAACCCAATTAAAAGTAATCTACTAAGGTTTGGGTATTTTGGGTTTTAATGTATCTAATAGGGTGTGGGCCTTTAATGTGTAGAAACTTAAGGGTAATTTTTGTTTGTATGATGGGCTAAAATAGAAATACCAAAATATAACAGGGAAGTTATGTACAAATGACAGTTATGGTCCCCAGATCATACGTTACATTCTATTCACTCTGACATCCCATCATTAGATAGAGTACAGAGAGAAAGTTAAAAGGTTCTCTAGGAAAACGTGTTGATCTGGAAGACAAACTGCACGACTCTAGAGATAAATCAGTCAATATGGATTCAGGTACACTTCCGCTTACAGATTTATTAGTTCGTGATGATCTTACATGAATGTTCTTGGCTTTTGGATGATGGTTTTCACCAAATTATTGATTTCTAACAAGTGGTATGAGAGAATCTTCATGTTAAATCATTGAGATTACAGATTATTTTTGTTCTATGGTTATTGAATTGAGAACAAAATTTTGTTGTTGTTCTTTGGTTATTTTTCAATACTCTCGGGCTATATTGGGCTAGTTCTTTAACCCAATACAGAAATTTGGGGTTGGCGGCAATCCTTCAGCTGCTGGCGATGTAGGCTTCGGGCGCGGCTTTTGGCCTCGCTGGTATGGACAGCCGCGGCTTGTGGCTGCAGCATAATGGAGAAAAGTGGCAGCCTTTGGCTGCCGCCTAAGGAAGAAAAAAAAAGGTTCTTTTGTAATTTATGCCGGCAGCCACCTTTGTCGCCGCCGGGTCTGGTCCTACCGGTGCAACCTATAGACTGTGCCGGAGGAGCATAGCCGCGGACCCGCGGTCGTCCGGTCGCGGCACCTGCAATTGGCGGCCGAATGGCCGCCAGTTCATCTAGGGGTTGAAGAAGACCCCTAGGTCTTCTTTGATCAGCATGAGCCTAATTGGGCCCGTTACTGAAGAATAGCTACGGGCTTAGCCCGTAGCAAATGACAAAAAAAAATAGGAGAAAAGGGTTACCTGTGGTAGGCCTGCGGTATAAAGAAGTGGGCTGGTTTAGGATCCGGGTTGGGTTTACTCGACCCGGTCCAGCTCAACCCGGTCAACTTTTTGACTGTTGACTTTGATCGACAGTTGACCTTAACCGTTGACTTTGACCAAATGTTTTTTTAATTTTTTTTGGTCATTTTGGTGTAATTTTAAATTCAGATATTGATATGGTTATATATATTTTGAGATGAATTAATTAAAGCAACATGTCGCCAAGTGACCTCTCTTGTGAAAATTAATTTGTTTTAGAATATAAATGGTTGCGTATATGTAACTTATGTGAATATTGATCGGCCCAAAGGAAAGTCAATATTTAACAAAATTACATGTGCACCTGTGGTAATAAACGTGTGATGATTATTCAATTTTATATGTGAACAATAAATTGACCCAAATGAAGATGTATTGTTTGGCGTGTTCTTATTATCTGTGTTTGATTACTACACCAAGATATCACTTACAAGTTAATATTTTGTCCAAAGATGAAATGTTAATGGAGTGCCTGGTATCTTGAGATGTGGTTTACCTTTATTTGAATTTAATTTTTTTTTTGGGATGTGAGCTTGTTTTGTTTGTTTGTTTGTTATTCTCTCTTTAGCTATGACTCCTGCTAATATTACTGTCAACATAAACTCTATTCCTATGCTAAATGGCTCTAACTTTAAGTCATGGCAAGAGAACCTCTTGATAGTTCTCGGAGTCATGGATCTCGACCTTACGTTAAGGGTTGATTATTCTCCACCTCTTACGGATAAGAGTACCTCTGATGAAAAGAGGGATACGGAAAGATGGGAGAAATCAAATCGCATGTGTGTGATGATCATGAAGAAGGCCATTCGGGAAACAACCCAATTATTTTTTGTTTTTATTTTTATTTTTAAAATTTTTATTAAACAAATACAGTTACTAACCGTTTTTGTTTTTTTTCATACCTAAAAATTATGCAAAAACATTTTTAAAAACAATTAAGAAATAGTTCTAAACGCACTATAAAAGTTCAAACCACCCTAATAATTCCGCAAAACTAAAGATAATTTTCTCAAATAGATTTGTAATTTCCCGCGTCGCCTGCCCTCAGAAAGAGCATGTCAGTTGGGAACGGCGCAGAACCAGCGAGCTCTGGACAAGACGAGCAAACGGTGAAGCTCGCTTTAGCCATTTCTCTTCTCCGATCGAAGATCCTCCAAAAGCCTCTTTCTTTCCCCAACAATCCTTCCACTTCCGACGCTCTCCGATGGAAGCGAAAGGTCTATCATTTCTTTCGAAATCCTTCCTTTTTCGATAGCTAACCTCGCTGTTTGGTTGCCGAGAAAGTTCAGGAATAAGAAATCGAACTTCCTTTCTTTCCTGTGCTATATTTTGCAGTTTTTCTTTATTTTTGTTGTTGCGATTTCCGGATTTGAAGTGCTAGTCCAGATTTCAATTTCCTCCACGATCTTTGTGATTTTTAAAATGGAAGAACTATTTCTCCGAAGTTTTGGAGCAAAGAAAGAGCTAATCTGAGTTTTAATGGCGGAGATTTAGGCGAAGGAGCGGAAGCAAGAGCTTTTGAGACTTAGAGAAGATCTCAAGCAAACTCAAGGTCGGCAAAATTTTCTAATCTCACTTTTTTTCTCTCTGATTTTGTTATGTTTTCTAATTCGTTTTCGGTTCCAGATATTTCACAGTGTGATTTGTTCCCTCAAACTGCCGTTTGCAAATGCTATTTCTTCGATAATTTGGGGAAATTGAGCCCTAAGACAGTAACAGATGGCTCCAATCGTCGGTTCAACGACGTTTTGCGGCGGAGGTTTCTGAGACAAGGTTTGTTTATCATCGTCATCGTCATCATCATCGTCATCATCATCATCTCCAATAATGCGGCTAATTTGAAAAATATGCTTTGAATTTGTTCAAATTTCTATTTTCAGTAAGATTCAAGGAAAGAAAACGAAAATCAGGTGGTTCAGTTCAGCAGCAACGGCTTTTATCAGGTTTATAATTAGTACTATTTGACTTTATATTCATTCTAATTAAGCTTGCGTTGGGATTTCAATATCTCGGTTTCCTTGGTTTGATAATTTTTAGTAGAATGCTTAAGGTTTCTCGGTTTTGGTTGTGGCAACTAACAGACGTTATGCTTGACATCTAACATTTGGAGAAATGTTGTTAATTATTTGCTTTTTCTATTTTCTTTCTAAATTTATTAAGGTGTCTAAATGCCTTTGAACACAGACCTTAGCAATGAAGATGAACTGGAGCAGCTTAGGGCCTCTGTTGATTTTCTTGTGGAACTTTGTGACACTGTTTCTCCGGTCAGATAGCAGGACTTAACCTTTGTTATTTATTCATTTTGCTTTTCCAATCAGAAGGTTCTGCTTACTTTAACTAATGTCTCAGTACTATTTTTTTATGCACTTCAATTACAATTTACCCAAACACTTATTTATTATTATTGTTATTATTATTATTTTGATTTTCAATACTCAGTATGATAATTTTTTACTTTTTATATATTTTTTTTCTTCCCCAATAGCTTATAGCTCTGTCCATTGTAATTTCAGGTTGAGGAGGTAAACTTTGCAAATTTGTCGCACCAAGCTGTAGACTTCATTTTAGGTAGCCAAAGTGTTTCTATTTTTATTTTTATTAGTTTTTTACCTTCCTGTTTTTCTGTTGAGAAGAGCAGGATTGGTGTTTTGTTTTACTGTTCTGGGTTACTTGAAGACAGCAAAAATAAGTTAGGCTCGTTTCTCCACTTTTTATAGATTATCCATGAGAGAAATTCTTTTGCTTTCTCAAACGTCAATGCTATAAGATGTGGAAGCTCATGCTATGTTGCTATTCAATGCTATAGTAGCTTTCTTGCATTGACTTATCTATGTTATATATGATTTCGTTTAAAGCAGATTTCAACCTCTATTCTGTTTTATTATATTCAAGAAAGATTAAGAAAGAGGTCTTCCTAAACCCCCAACCC